AAATCCTCCTTTTTGAAGATTTAAAAAAAAAAAAAAAAATGCAACCACACTGAGACTTACTTGGCTACTAGGTGAAATGAATAAAATAAAATGAATAAAATGTTGGAGTTTTAAAAAATATATAATTAAGGAGGTCAGCCAGTATATTTGGTTGCTAGCCAAATAAATGAATTATCACTCATTTATTTATAAATTTAAATGATCCTGAACCCCTTCCCCTCTTTACCATGTTTAATTAACTGACAAACCTCTTCCTGAGATTGGAGAAGGTGATGGTGATAAATAACTAGCGTTTATTGAATACTTAGTCTGCAGCAGCTCTTGTTCTGAAAAGTTTCCACCAATTTACTTGATTAAAACCATACACCTATGTGTTCTCCCCATTTCACAGATGGGGAAACTGAGTCATGGTAGGTGTGAGCAGCCTGCCCTGGCCTACAGAACCAAGAAGTCTTAGGCCCAGGATTTGATTCTGGGCAACCTACCTCCAGAGCCGTCTCTGTTACCACTCCCTGCACTTCCTCTCTCTGTGTTATGAGTAACTTTGGTCCCTGTTGATCTTCCAGTTATTTTTTCCGGTCTCTAGTGTTGACCTAGAGAGCACTTTCAGGATGAGATTTAATAGCCACGGGGAGAACAACTGGTAACGGCCCAGCATGGCCGCCTCCTGGTTTCCCTTCACATAAAGCCTCCTTCCCTCTCAGGTGCCGACCTGGTCTCTCCCTGCAGTTCCATTGCCTTCCCAGTTGCTGACCGGCGGTGGACCTGTGTCTGGGGTGACTGAGCAGCCCCCTGCATCTGTGGAGATCTCCTTCCGCTAGGCACAGTGAGGGGGCACTGAGGGGTCCTTCTCTTGGCTTTGATGTCCCTAGCTCCACACCTGTGCTTAGCCTGGAGACACCGAGGCCGCACCGGAGGCCCCAGGCCCGCAGCAGCACTGCCTTGAACATCTCTGCCAACCCCCTCCCCCATTCCTGTCCTCGCTGATGGGGCCGCACTGTGTGGTGCCTGCGGTGCCGAACAGCAGTGGGTGTGGCCGCAATTCCGGCAGGATCGACTGTGCCAGACAGACAGCCCGTCACCAGGCCGTGAGGACGCGGGTGGTCCATTAGGGCCTGGAGCCTGGCCAGAGGCCACATAACGGCTCGCTTTTGCATTATGGATTTGTGTCGGGTTCCTTAATAGGCCAGGGACTGGGATTTTCCTACATTTGCTTATTTTCCTGCTCGAGGGGCTGCCGACCTGTGGAGCTGTGTGAAACGCTCACTAATAGCCTGTGATTCAGGGTGTTGGCATTTCTGGGCCATCTCCAGGGCCTAGAGGCAATGTTTTCCTTCACTGCTCTCAAAATAGCCAGGTTTGATGGGCATCGTCGGAGAACCCTGTGCTCTGCGGGCTTCTTAAAGTTGTAGCGTAGCGTCTATTCCTGAAACTGCTCCAGGACGTGCGTTAGAGGAAATCTCAGCATTTTGTTTTCTGCCTTTGCCACTCAGTCCTGGGGGCCACACTGGTAGGGTCCGGATCCCTGACTGCCCCTGGGTGCACTCAGGCCCTATGCTGCGTGCTCAGGTGCAGAAGGTGATGTCCTCCCAGCCTCCTGGGATCTGGCCATGGCCGGTGGAACACAGTGGAGGACTCTCATGGAAGACCCTGATGGGGTGTGCTGCACAAAATCACCAAGGGAGGTTCGCTGAATTTGCTTTCATGTGTGTGGTGTGGAGGGTCCACCTGCAGGATTCGTGCTTCCTGGCTGTTGTTGTAAGGTGCTACCATCTCCGGGCTCTCAGGGAGATCTAGTGTAGGGCAGGGGTATCGGGGAGCCCGGCCACCTGGATTTGCTGCTCACTCTCTTCCTGGGGGGCCGTGTGCTGTGGACAGCCAGGACCACAGAGTGTGTGGCGCTGAGAGGTCCCCCTGCACCCGTACGCAGTGCTGCCGGGGGGTGAGGGCATACAGATGCTGCATCTCGGCCCCCTTCCTGGAGCAGCCTGCGCACCACACACTGCTTCTGTCCTGAGCTCAGTGTGAGCCTGGTGACACGTTAGGTTCCCCCAGGAGATGAACAGATCCGGCCCCCTTGAGGGCTGGGGGAAGACATACATCCCACAGGGGGACCCGCCTCAATGTCTTGCTCTGACCTGAGCTCCTAGAGCCACTGTGGGTCCCGGCTCAGCCTGAGCCAGAGGAGCTGTGGCACCCAAGCAGGACCTGAGCCAGAGCTCAGGGGTCTCCCCAGGCCTCAACGGCTGCCTCAGCCATGGGATGGGCCTCTTCTGCTGCTGTTATCCTGGGGTAGTGGCCCTTGGGTTTGCTTTCACCCTGCACACTCCCCTGGTTATGCAGACCTCAGGGTTTCCTCAGTGATGAGAGTTGTTTGTGTTCCTGGAACCTAAACTGCTCTGTCATGAGGGTGTGGACCAGTCAGTGCCAGTGTCCTGTTTCCTGGCCTTCTCCCGAGTGGCCGGCCAGGCCCAGTGCTTGGTGTCCACATGCGCCACTTCAGTCACAGCTGCCCTGGCAAGGCCATCATGTGCCCTCGAGGGGATCCCTCCTGCCTCCTGGGCTTTCGCTCAGCTGCCCCGGGGATCTTGCGTTTGTGGGGATTGCCGCAGCTAACCCAGTGGAAAAAGTCTCAGTGTGGAATGCATGAGCTTCCAAGTCCCTGCCTGGATGTGAGCTCCCTGCCGTTTTCCTGCCCGGCTCGCAGTAGTTACAGCATTTCCAAAGGGGCTGCGATCTGCTTGCTCTTTGCCATAAGCAGTGTATTTCTGGGAACCGGGGTCAGTGACTTCATAACGTTACTCCAGCAACCAAACAAGTGTTAAGCCCAGAGCTGCCAGCAGCCCCAGGGGTACCTGGAGTGACCAGCTCAGGCTGGCTCTGGGCCCATTCCCTGCTCATTGCTGGGGCTGGAAGCTGTGGGTGTACACAGTAATTTAAGACTAATTTTGGAGTTTAGAATTCACCTAGTTGGGTACTTTTCACCATTTTATGGAAAGGGACAACAAGATAGCACTCAGATGGAGATAAGCGAGGTGAGGGGTCTGTACCTCTCCCTTACCTTTTCTTTACTCATCTCCAAGATGTCCCCTGGAACCCAACTGGGAAACTGCAGATGGAGCCCGTCCACCTTACTGATGAACAGTGTTACTCCTTGCTCCCCTTCAGCCACTGGCAGGCTGCCACGGACCTGTGACTCCAGGAAGACAGCAGTGGGGCCTGCAAGGGTTGGAGGGCCTGGACCCCTTCCTGCTGCCCAGAGGAGTCGGACCCTAGTGTGCCCCCACACCCAGCCCTCCAGCACTGCCTGGTGTGCCCGTCCTCCTCGTCCCGGGTGGGGAAGGCTTTCCAGAGGCTCTGGCCACTCGATCTCTTCATTCGGCTGGTCCCTGATGAGCAGTTCTCAGGTGACCGGAAGCGCCGCTGTGCCGGGTGCCAGGGATGGCCGTGAGCAGAGCAGCGCAGCCCTGCCCGGGTCTGTGGAGGCTGGCAGGAGGGCTCCCCACCTCTCAGTGGGCATCAAACGGGTCCTCCCTGATGTTTTGATGGGAGGCTGCTCTCTCATTTCTTTTATTTTTAAAAAATTGTTGGTGTACTTTTGTGATGCCTCATGATTCCTTCATCTCGGGGAACTGGTGCGTGAACATATCACATCTTGATCATTTTTGCTCACCCACCCTCTCTTTTATTTCTTAATGAGTTGTCTTTAAATTTCTTATTACAGGGCCTTATTAGAAGGAGAAAGCAATCCAGAGATAGTAATCTGGGCTGAGGACGTGCCGCAAGGTAAATGTAAGAAAAGCTCATTATTTACCTTTCAAATGCTTTCCTACCTGTCATTCCATGGGGAGAGAGGACAGCACTGCTTGTCCAGAAAGGCAGGGCTTAGCTACGGGGTTTCCAGGTAACAGTAGTTTATCTGTCTTTTAAGTACCAGAAAGATTTTAGTTGAGTGGGATGTGATTTAAATTGTTAGGTGACAAAAGTCCTTAATAAAGTTATTTGCTCACTTAACCCATATTCTGAGACTCTTCCCAGCTACCATGGGGCTGGTGGAGAGCTGGGCAGAGAGAAAGGTGAGGATGTGGACTTGAGAGGGACATACTTTCCTTTTCCAGAGCAGACAGCTCTGGTTGTAACTAGCAGGGGAGGTGTCCCTTCCACAGCAGGCAGTCAACACCTGGGAAGTGGGGGACAGAGGTGGGGGAAATTGTACTGTTTCTGCTACATTCAGTCGGAAGGCGTGTCTGGGTGTGCCGAGGACGAGCCTGAGGGAGGGCCATCTTTCTGACAACCACAGAACTGACATAAGAGAATCTGGTGTTCATTAGAATGACCTAAGAACTTCTAGGATGACTTTTAAAAAAAAACTTGTAAACCCTGTAAAATCTCAGAGAAATTCTGGCTAAGCAGTGACAGATTTAAATCATGTATATAGTGTGTTCACGATGCAGCTGTCCCCACTGACCCCGCCGTACCTGGGGGCATTTGGTTCCAGCACACACTTTCACTGCCTGAATACTAAAATCTGTGGATGCTTAAATTAATTCACTAATATAAAACAGTGAAGTATCTGCACAGAACCTATGCACACCCTCCTGTGTACCTTCAGTTATCTCTAGATGACTTATAACACCCAACACAATGTAAATGCGGTGTTGATAGCTATTGTGTTATATGGTTTAGGGAATCATGACAAGAAAACATCTGTACATGTTCAACAAAGGTGCATTTTCTTTCCCAATGTCTTTGATCCTTGCTGGTTGAATATGCACACGTTGAACCCATAGAAGTAGAACCCAGGAACCCAGGGGACCCACCAATTCAGTAGTTCTACTTTAGTTTACAATGTTCCCATTAGGCATATCATGTTTTGACAGATCACTGGATTCAGAACAATAACTTTGGTTCTAGTCATCGATAGCTGCAGGAAATTTGATCTTAGACAACATCCTTCCAGTTTGCTTTCTAGTTTTGAGAATAAGTCAGAAAAACACAAAGATGTCCATGAATATGGTCATTAACCAGCCTGCCTAGCATCAGTTAACATCTGACATCTATAAAATAAGAGTTAGTCCCTCGCCAAATTTGAAAGTTTGCTTTTTCACCTAAATTATTTACATGTGGGTACATAAGGCTGGAAATCTACCACATAAGCTAGAAGGAAGAGAAAGAGATAAAAGGGCCCAGGATGAAGCTCCATGGGAACCAGCATACTGAGTCAGGAGCTTGTTCACACCCCTACTAGTTGAGACTTTGTAGCCTCAGAAGGGGGCTAACAGGAATCTCTGTTAACTTGTTTGATTCATTGTTTTCCTACCTTCTTTAAAGAAATAGAGATTCTGTATTTGTAAACTAAATGTATCACAGCAACTACATGTCATACCCAAAGAAGGAAGCTTTAGAATAAAGATTACTAGTTGTGAACTCTTCTATTTGACTTTGAGCTTCCACCTATTTAAGTAAACCCACAGCTGAGTTCCTAGACAGTGAATTGATCAGTACTTATCAGTGCCCTTGTGTATCTTTTGTAAAGTTGCCTAAAGTAATGTTGCCCTCTCGACAAGTGGATGATAGGCCCAGTGCCAGTCTGTGATCCTCCATATTTCTCATTGAACCTTCATTCAAAAAGAGGGTTCTGCTGTGTTTCCTCGGTATTCATCTTCTGAGTGTTCTCAGTTTAAGACCAGTATGTTGGCTTTGTGGAAAATGTCTTGGCCTTGTGATTTTACCTGTGTCCTGGAATCTGAAGGAGGCCCTTGGCCTTGGCCTTGACCAAGGAGTCTCTGTCCGTATGGGTAAACACTAGGGGGCGCTTTCAGGGGAGATGGTGCTTCTGGCCATGTTCTAACTCATGGCTGCCATTCCCATGAACACTGAGAGAGTATGGGCTCTAGAAGGGTAACACTCTGTAGGCAGACACCCTAAGTGATACATCTCTCAACTCCAGGATTAGAACAGATGGCAGTCTTGACAACCTGTCAGCTTTCTGCTCCAGCACCTTTTCAAATGACAAAGAATTGTCAGATGTAAAAGTGAAATAGAACAAGAAGACTTAAAAAGTTGAATTCTTCAATACCTGCTGGCCTAACATAGAAACCAGTAAAAAATAAAAACATGTTAGACAGAGGAGAGGTATGCTATTTGGTATTCAGTAATTATATGCTTTGTAATTATAGAGCTCTTCTCTACTGAAATAAGTAAAATAAACTTATTTCAACAAAGTGGAATTAATGATTCTGAAATATCATAATATTGTGAAATCTCATCCACAAACACTAGCACCTTTGACTTCTCTGGCACATACGCCAGACCCCTGACACTTCTATTAAGATGTGTGAATATTTTAAAATCAGTAACTAGAGAAAAGTACTAAGCAGAAGTATTTAGGGCACTATATGTTATTGTGACCGGATTTCTAAAGCTATCAAAAAGCTAATTTGGGGACTGAAAATATTTTACTTATAAGGACCTACCTGTGGTAATAGTATTTATTTTGAAGGCATAGGAAGACCCCTGACACTTCTATTAAGATGTGTGAATATTTTAAAATCAGTAACTAGAGAAAAGTACTAAGCAGAAGTATTTAGGGCACTATATGTTATTGTGACCGGATTTCTAAAGCTATCAAAAAGCTAATTTGGGGACTGAAAATATTTTACTTATAAGGACCTACCTGTGGTAATAGTATTTATTTTGAAGGCATAGGATTTGACTTAGAATAGTGCTTTTATAAGAGAGAGAGAGAGAGAGAGAGAGAGAGAGAGAGAGAGCACATGCGAGATTATTCAGTAATTATATGCTTTGTAATTATAGAGCTCTTCTCTACTGAAATAAGTAAAATAAACTTATTTCAACAAAGTGGAATTAATGATTCTGAAATATCATAATATTGTGAAATCTCATCCACAAACACTAGCACCTTTGACTTCTCTGGCACATACGCCAGACCCCTGACACTTCTATTAAGATGTGTGAATATTTTAAAATCAGTAACTAGAGAAAAGTACTAAGCAGAAGTATTTAGGGCACTATATGTTATTGTGACCGGATTTCTAAAGCTATCAAAAAGCTAATTTGGGGACTGAAAATATTTTACTTATAAGGACCTACCTGTGGTAATAGTATTTATTTTGAAGGCATAGGATTTGACTTAGAATAGTGCTTTTATAAGAGAGAGAGAGAGAGAGAGAGAGAGAGAGAGAGAGAGCGCACATGCAAGAGCGAGAGTGAGAGAGAATGATGCCTGTCATCTTAATGAACCATTTGTTCAATTTCTACAGATTTCCGAAATACATCATATCGATATTCTGACTCAGTATTACAGAGGAAAAATGAAAGCAATCTATTTCCAAAGCAGAAAGCACCTTTTGTGGGTTTAAATCACAGCTCAACTGCATATTCTAATGGGCACTTTGGATCTCAGAGAACCACGTCTATTGGAAATACTGCCAGAAGAGGGTTCCTGGCCCCGGGGACTTCTGGCTCAGCCACTACCTGGCACAAAGATGTCTATGAGAAAACTGTCAACAGTCAAACCAATTCCCAAACTTTCTCTCCAACCCCAGGTCTTGTAAGAAATACCAATGCTCAAGTGAGAACATTTCCTCATAGAGCAAAAACTGAAGGTACAAGGGATGCCCCCGTGTACTTAATCAAAGGTTCCACTGCCATGCAGGTGTCGCACAGAGATCACTGGGATGATGTGATAGCAGATACCTCAGACAGCACTCGGGCAAATGAGAGGACCATCATTTTGGGAAAGAAAATAGAAGCAAAAGCCACAAGGGAGCAAGAGAGCGACAGATCGGGAGCCATCAAAATGAAACCAGAAGAGAAAATATTTGATTCTAAAGAGAAAGCCTCAGAGGAAAGAAACCTAAGATGGGAAGAACTGACAAAGTTGGATAAAGAAACAAGAAAGAGAGAAAGCCAGCAGATGAAGGAGCGGGCCGAAGGGCAGGAATCACTGAAGGAGAAGAATGTGAAAGAAAGGGAGATACCCGTTAGGCTAGAAGTGCCCCGGGGCAGCAGATCAGAGGTGTCCCCCAAAGACATACAGACACCCGGAAAGAAGGATGCTGGTGACAGCCAGGGTACCAAGGCAGTAACCAGAGAGACCAAGTTCAAGCTGGACACTAGCAACATTGCCGGTCCTCTGCAGGGCGACGCCATGACAGAAACCATAGCCGAAAACATCGTTACCAGCATCCTGAAGCAGTTTTCCCAGTCTCCCGAAGGGGAAGCATCTGCCAACTCTTTCCCAGATACAAAAGTCACTTACATGGACAGGAAAGAGCTTCCGGGTGAAAGGACAACCAAGACAGAGATAGTCGTGGAGTCGAAACTGACGGAAGATATCGATGTTTCTGATGAAGCCAGTCTAGACTACCTTTTAAGCAAGGATGTCAGGGAAGTGGGGCTGAAAGGGAAATCAGCAGAGCAGATGATAGGGGACATAATCAACCTTGGTATGAAAGGAAGAGAAGGGACGGCAAAGGTCGTCAATGTGGAGATCATGGAGGAGCCCATGAGCTATGCAGGAGGCAGGAAGACAGAGGAGGTCTCCACCCCCTTTCAGGTGGAGGAGGTTGACGATGTGTCTCCAGGCTCCAGGGGGCTTGTTGAGGGCGAGGAAGGTGACCGAGTGGGCCGTGTCATATTCTCAGTTAATCAGCATCAAAGGACCAAGCAACCTCGGGAGAACATGACTCATGTGGAGGAAGTGACGGAAGCAGGTGACTCGGAAGGGGAGCAGAGCTATTTTGTGTCGACTCCAGATGAGCTCCCGGGGGGCTGTGACGGAGAGGATGAAGGCTCGGTGTACGGGCAGATCCACATCGAAGAAGAGTCCACCATCAGGTACTCCTGGCAAGATGAAATCGTGCAGGGGACTTGGAGGAGGAGAAAGAGGGACGACGCGGCGGCAGAGAGGGATGTGAAGGACATAGATGTTCCAGCATGTTCTCTGGGGGGCGACATGGGCTCTGCCCATTGGAAGGAGGAAGCTAGTGGTGAATTTCATGCTGAGCCCACGGTCATTGAGAAAGAAATCAAAATACCACACGAATTGCACACGTCCATCAGGGGCACCTTCTCCAAGGAGCCCAGAGAGCAGCTGGCAGAGGTCATCGGGAAGCTGGAGGAAACCCTCCCAGAGCGCATGAAGGTAGAGCTGTCCACCCTGACCAGAGAGGGCCCGGGCGAGCCAGGGAGCGTCTCAGTTGACGTGAAGAAACTCCAGACCACTGGTGGCAGTTCCGTGACCCTCGTTGCTGAGGTCAACCTCTCCCAAACCGTGGATGCTGATCAGTTAGATCTGGAGGAGCTGAGCAGAGACGAAGCCGGTGAGATAGAGAAAGCGGTAGAGTCGGTGGTACGCGAGAGCTTGACCAAGCAACACGGCCAGGCCCCTGGGAGCCCGGACAGGGAAGATGGCGGCGTTTCCTTCAAGCGCTGGGCCACCAGGGAACTGTATGATGCTGCTGGAGAGAGGGATGATGCCAGCCAGGCCTCTGGCAGCCCGGAAGAGCCCACTGCCCAGGGCCCACTGTCGGCCACGGTGGAGATCAGCAGCCCGAGGGGCTTCATGCAGTCGCACGTGCTGGAGGACGTAAGCCAGTCCGTGAGGCACGTTAGACTGGGCCCCACTGCAGTCTGGAGGACTGAGCAAGTCTCCCACGGCGGACCCACTGCCGAGGTAGGGGAGGTAAGTGAGGACCAAAGCCAGGCAGCTAGCATTCGAGGAGCCAGCTGGCCTGTGAGGCACTTTACCGTGGGTCCCAGTCAAAGCAAAGTGTCCACAGAACTCGTCTTCCAAGGCCCTGTCTCTGCCTGGCAGGAGGCAGGGGGCATAGAAGAGCCCCGCCTGGCAGAGCTGTCCGCAGACACTGACAGACTGGGGAGACACAGCACATTCGGTGCCAAACAGTTTCATGCTGAAAAGGAAATTAGTTTTCAGGGCCCTGTGTCTGGGGCAGTGAGGGCCAGTGATTATTTTGCAACTGAAGAGCCAGTGAGTACCCAGCTTTCTGTAAGGCATCTCCAGTTAAGCCCAAAAGAAGGGTTCAGGGAACAAATCCAGTTCATAGTGCCCCCCACAGACAAAGCAGAAGGGGGCACCAGAGGGGGTTCTGTGCACACTGAAGAGCTGCCAGGGCCCAGTGACATCGGGCCTCAGGGGCATCAAGCCACTGAGCAGGTGTTTTCCCAGTCCATGGGGTTCAGCAACTCAGAAGGCACTGTGCACTCAGGGGGCTCCACAGTTGTGACCCAGGCCACTCACAGCTACACTTCTGGTAGGAAAATCCTCAGTACTGAAAAAATCACATTCCAGAGGGTGGCTTCTGAATCATCCCCAGAGCATAATGCAGAGGACATGTCAAGGGCAGAAATGACATCAGGCACTAGCAGATCCTTCAGGCACATTCAGCTAGGGCCTACGGAGACCAGAACCTCAGAACACATTGTCATCCATGGACCCATGTCCAAGACATTGGCACTCGCTGGTTCAGAGAAGCCCCCTGTGCTAGGTGAGCCAGGGGACAGCAGCAGAACCCTGAGACACCTTGCCCTGGGGCCCAAAGCAACTTCCTTTACCTTTCAGATGGATGTGAGTAGCAGAAAGGCCTCCCCCACCTGGACACAAGAGGCAGGGACGGAAGCGGAAACTCACAGTGTGTCTGACCATGGCGCCAGGAGAGATGCTGGCACTAGGAAGGACTGGGCAGCTGGCGTGAGCTCTCAGGCCTCTGCTGCGGATGGAGTGCAGGCCCACGGCAAGGAGGGCACGGAGCAAGCTGGGTTTGATAAGACGGTGCAGCTGCAGAGAATGGTAGACCAAAGGTCGGTGATTTCAGATGAGAAGAAGGTTGCTCTCCTCTATCTAGACAGTGAGGAGGAGGAGAGTGATGGACAATGGTTTTGACAAGCAGAATTATTTCATCTTAAGTAGCATCCTACTTGGCAACAACCAACAGAAGGCCTTAATTTATGGAGTAAGGGATGCTCATCTCAAAGCTTCCCCTCTTTTACTTTTGTTAGAGAACTCCAGGCAGTGTTAATATACTTGAACCTGTAAAGGTTTCGGGTTAATTTGTGCCTTTAAAGGCTTGGGAGTTTTCTTTTTGAGTTGTGACTTCTACAAAACCACTTTTTATCTTTTTAGTCTTAAAAAGTTCCCTTTTCTGAAGTTTTCTCTCCATTTATGGAGGCGATTTCTACCAGTTTTGCACCTGGTCACAAACATGGCTTGCATCCATTTAAACCTATGCTTAATTACCAACTGGCAAGATGCTTAAACACTAACCAGATTAAAATAGTATATTTAAGAATAGATTTTGTGTGCATGTGCTAATATGAAATAACAAATTAAAATACATTTTTCTCTTTTTGGAGTCTTTTCAAGACTCCATATTAAAAAAATTCTAAATGATTTCATCCTTAGGGAAAAATTCCTTGCTAGAGAGTGAAATTCCTTTCAGTGCTTGAATGAATTGCTTTCTATGTGTAGAACTTTAAAGAATTCAGTGTCTTATTTATGGAGAGGAATTCCAATCAGTGTGCCTGCTATGTCTGCACAGGTTTCCCTGCACTGGACCCACAGGTTGGGGGAAATGAAGATCAGGAATTGCTTACCAGTACCATTTCTTTTGTGTGGTGCTAGGTCATAGTAGTGCTTAGTCTGACTATTCTGTTTCATTACCACCTAAGCTCTGGAGCAGCCAGCTCCTGTCAGAACCCGTATCCTTGAGCCTCTCTGTGCCTTCGCCCTTAGCAGCAGGATCCTCAGTTTCACTGGTGGGAAGCAGATCCTCCAGACAGCGAACTCGGACTGCACTGAACTGGCACGTTGGTCGTGGCAGGAAAACTAGCAACATGAGGTGGGCCGTGCCTCCCAGAGAAGCTGTTCTCGACCCACCACTCATGGATCCAAGGTCTTTCTGAGCTCAGGGTGAAGAATAAGAAAGCAACAACCTCGCAGAAGCTTTTTGCACTTCTCAGCAGTGATCCTGGCAGTGGGAGTGTTCAGTCCAGGGAAACACAGTGTGTTAGAGCGAGGTGTTTGGAGGAAGGAGCCAGGTACTTCTCCGGCAACCGAGCACTGGAGGGTGACAAAGGCCCCACTCCTGGGCCATGCACTGCGAACCTGCAGGTGTACCACTGAATTTAAGATACTAGGGTGAGCTTGTTTGGATTTGTTTTATTTTACACATGGGTATTGTTTTTAAAGCTCCCATCTCTAAAGGTGTGTCATCACATAGGAATAGCATCTCTAGCAGCACAGCACTCTTGTAGTCCAGACCAGTTGCTTTCAAGTGATACTGCCTAGGCTGTGCTTCCTGTAACAGCTCCGCAGACCTGCCTGTAGTGTACTGAGGAAGAAGGGTCTGAGGTGGCGCCACCTTCAGGTAGGTTCTGACGGTGGCATGGAACAGTGTGGAGAGCTCTTCCGGCGCCCTGTAAGAGGGTTGGTGTCTGGGCCCTGGAATAGCTACAGCTGATACGTCAAGGCGAGAGTTTTCTTAGTTGATGAATGGAGGAGAAATACAGTACAGCTTTCAAGATGATTCGAGTCAGGATATAGAAAGGAAGTTGCTACGAATTGCACCTTTAAATCCTTGTTACCCATCTGCCGGGCAAACTAGTGACTGTCAGACTGGTAGACAGGTGACCGCTTTACCAGGGCTCCTTGTTTCTCACACAGGCAAAGATGTGATGTATTTCTGCGGCAACAGGCACTGAATGGTATCTAAGTGATTTACTAGGATTTGGCCAGGGTGCCACCCTCCTGTTTGATGACGACACGGTGAGCCTCAGTGGGGCTGGCTGATGTTCACCATCCTCACCCATGAGCTTTGTGAATGGGTGCTGATGTGGACAGGTTATTGCTATCATGACCCACTTCACTTACTTCAGACAATATGCATCTTTGGTTTTCATTTTCCTCTCTGTGTCGGAATGCATATCCGCCTGAAGCATTCACCACTGAGGACCGGACCGGCAAGCCGTCCTCAGGTCTAAGTGTCTGGGTCAGCCAGGGCCAAGGCTTGCCTTCGTCCCTGTGGTGAGCTAAGGCACCTCACAGCTTCTACTCTATAAAACCAGTCACTGTGGAGGCAGGAGAAATCAGTGTTGTGGTTGGACAGGGTGGTAGCAGCCACTGTTGCCCCTGTTTATGATTTTTAGAGAAAGCAGTATTCACTGACTGTTTCTCAACTCCCCACTGTTTGTTTCGACAGTTTAAGATGTCTACGTAGAATGGAATCATCTAAGAAGCTGATTTTGCTAACCTCCTGTTCCCTCGAAGGGAAATGTCACAAGAATGTATAGAAATAAAAATCTGAGGAAAAAAAAAGACCACATTGTTCCTAAAGAGAATGAATGTTTCCGGTCAGTTTTGGTGTGGTTTCTTTCAAACTCTAAAACAAATAGGAGTTTTCGTGTAAGTTTTTACAATAGGACAGAATTATTGGGCAAAATATAACTCCTCCCTTGAATCAGAACTCGCTATCATTGACACAGGACTGGAAAGCATGGCGGACACGGCTTGGAATCAAGCACAGACTGGACAGCTTACGGCGAAAATGCTGTTGCCACAACCTGGAAACCTAGGGCCAGCAGGGTATAACGGACCATCCCATTTTTACCCAGGGCGCAGGACTTTCAGTGCTAAAACCAGGACTGTCCTGTGAAGTACCGGGAAAGTGGTTACCTTAAGCACAACTGAAGATTAATTATGGCTGTTTCTTAGGAATCCGAAAAGAAAAAATTATGGGAGCCTGAAACAAAGGACAACTAGATATAGTTACCTGGCTGTAATCAACAAACAGGTGGTTAGCAACAGAAATTAAAACACAAAGGGCTGTATTCTTCCTTTCTTGTAGAAGTTAAATTTAATGGGAAACATTTGATGAGACATTCCTAATTCACTCTTTCTGGTGAATACATTTTCAAATGTATTTCGTTTCTGTGAATCCAAGATATGCTTATTCCAAGAAATACAGAAAGGAAGTAATGCATCGAAATACACACGTCTTCAGATGTGCTCCTATGACAGAATACTGTACCCTAGGAGATTTCACCCACATAGTTACTTCTGTGTCTGTAGGCTGGGAAGTCCAGATCAAGGACCCTACAGATTCACTTTGTGGTAGGGCTTTGCTTCCTGGCTTGTACACAACCGTCTCATAGTTGTGCCCTCGTGCTAAAAAGAAAGATCATCTTTCTGCGTCACATCTTACGAAGACACAGGCTGTGCCTCATGACCTACTCCTTAAAGGGCCCTGCTTCAGAATATCATCATGATGGGGATTAGAGTTTCAAGAATGAGTTCTTGAGGGGACACACATGGGCCATAGCACACTTCTATGTACCATCTCCACCAAAACGATGTCTTTAGGTAGGGCTTGGTAAGCACGACTCACACCTTTTTGTACCTTGCTCTCACCCCACAGGCCTGGGTCTGGCATGGTGTGTGTGGGTAGGGGCTCCTGAGGACACTGAGGGCCACTGTGGACAGCACGAGGGACCGTGCTAGCCTTAGAATCAGTTGTTCGTCCTGCCTGGAGCAGAGGCCACAGGCGGAAGCGGCAGTGCCCCTCCCCCCACAGCCTCCATGCAGGCCTCAGGTCCTGCCCAGCTTTGTTCTAACCTTAAATCTACCTCCCTGACCCCTAGGCCAAGTGACATCCACTCACCACCCATGCCAGTGTCTCAGTTCTTTCCCTCCATTGCAGTTACTACTAATTCCACCGTCGTGTTTGATGTCTGTGTCATACGAGGTCACAACCTCTGAGACAGTGGGGACACTGGGTGTCTTGCTTATTCTTCTGTCCCCAGTTCTTAACACAGATATAATAGGTGCTCAGCAAAATCCAGTGAGCAACCAAGCACAGGAATGAAGGGCAGTGCCTCTGTGTACCTTTTCAGGTTCTGAGGATCCCTGGGATGGTTCTCTTTTTGTCTTTTTGTTTTGTTGCTTGCAGGGCTGGGAATGGAACCCAGGGCCTCACAGGTGCCACAGAAGTGCTCTGCCACTGAGTTACACTTCAGCCCCAGTCTTCATTTTAAAACACATACACCAGTACTCTCAAGTTTCTCTTTATTGGCATTTTATTCTCGGTTCCTATAAGAAAATGGCTTTTTCCAGCGTCTTACTGTTTCAAATCTGACCCCAGATCCATGCAAGGGGCTATGCGTACAATCACGCCCAGTTTAATTTCCTGCACAGGAAGTTCTGCACTTTCGAAGGGAAGTCTTTCAGCCATAGTAATGCTGATGGACAAAAATCCAAATAGCAGTCCCAGCTCCCCCTGAAGGGCATCCACTGTCAAAATGTGGCCCGCCGGTGGTGGGGAGGGTGGGCGGTGGTGTTGCTGTAGAACATTCAGACAGCCAGCCTTGAAGATCTGTGTCAGGACTGTTAAAAATTCCACCTTCTGGCCAGAGAGAGATTTGCACAGCAGCACCCCAGAGGCCCAAAGCTTTCTCTGGGGTGTACATGGTGGGGATTTCAGTCTGCCTGGTTGGGCCTGCCCTTCCTGGGGATAGAGCACTGAGGGGCACTGGTGCAGAAGGCTGCTTTGGCTTTTGGAGACTGCCTTGGCTTCATGGCGCCCTCGGGTGCCCTGCAAACAAGCAGAGGTGGGGTGAGGGTGGCCCCTCAGGCCTTCACACGGCTTCTCTCCAACCTGTGCTGAGACACCTTGGAGGGGAGGTACCCTGGAGAGGAGAACCCCAGCACAAGAGCATCAGATGCAAAGGTTTCTCCCGTCTTGATTCCCTGGTACTCCTGTGGTGAGCTGGGCAGAGAACATCTGGTCAGCTGTGTGAGCAAGACGAGCAGAGAGGACTGGCAAGGTGGGCAGGAGGCCTCCCTGGCTTGTCTTCCCTGCCCTCAAAGGGGTACCCCTGCTGGTTGGGTCTGGGGCTCCACTTTAGGAGGCTCCCCTGAGGGTGGACTTCGCCCTCGGCTCCTGCACTCTGGGGAGACACGAGCTATGAAGTGGGGGCCTTCCCTGGAGAGTGCTGGGTCTCTGCTCAGGGACTGAGAAAGGAAACAGCCCAGCCTTCAAGGCACGGCCAGGGACTCACTGATCCTGTTCTGATGGACACCCAGAGGGCTGCAGGAAGTCAAGGTGCAGTTCCAGTGGGCCCCTCCCTCCCTCAACAGCACGGGGCCCAGACAGACCTGCAGGGGCTAAAAGCTAGCCTGTGTTTCTGACATTATTCAGGAGTGAATTCTTTCCACTATCTGGGCACAGGAGATATTTCACAAGAGGGTTTTCAAAGGAATTGGTCTCATGTATGCAGTGGAGGAAAAGTCAGTTGGTAAAAGTGTCCACAGAGCCTGGTAAAAACAGTTTTCTCAGAGGTTCTGAATGGGGGAGGAATGTGATCCTCTGAGAAAGAGCAAGGGGACACCAAATCTCACCTGGATAGGACGTCCACTGATTGCTGGGTGGCCACGGTCCTCTTGTCCTGGGGTCCGTACAAAAGCGTCTGAATCTGAAGACACTGCAAAACACAAGCAGTCATGGTGAGGGAATGGAAATGTCACCAAGAGCACTTTGCAGGAAAATAAAGTCTCCCTTGAATGAGAGAAAGAATACCTCATTCTTAGACCCATGCTGTAATGGAGTTAGAGCCTTCTGGGGTTTCTCTTAGGGACAGTCTGACATTTGATTTGGCTGTTCTGAGGAAGCCAACAAATAACTGTACTGTTTACTACTATTTCATATATCTCTCTTTATGTAAAAGATATTTAAGAGTAGTAGTTTCTATAAATAAAGGCAAGAACATTGGTACTGAGCAGAGGATGGGTCTCTGGTTTCTATTTTTAAACTGTTACAGCCCAGAAAATTAAAAACAAAAGAGTTTGTGTGTGTGTGTGTGTGTGTGTGTGTGTGAATAAATGTTTTATTTTATATGGTTTTTTTTTTGTTTGTTTGTTTGGTTTTTTTTTGTACTGGGGATTGAACTCAGCCCACCAAACCACTGAGCTAAATCCCCAGCCAATATGGGCTTTCTTTACTCATTGTGACACAATGATTTCTTAGTTACTAAGCATTAAATATTCAGCTTATTGTTTATCTAGGGCTGACTTTGGCTTAATTGCTTCTTTTCGCTTAGGTCTTAGCATTTGATTGTTTATACTAGGGTCAGAGCAAACTCAAAGAAAGACTAAAAATTAAAGGTGTGCCATAAATGTTCAAAATAGTTTTGAAGAAGAATGAAGGGTAGGAACTTGCTTGACTCCAGATGCCAAGGTCTCTTGTAAAATTATAGTCATCAAGACAGCATGATTTTCATCATGGACAGACAGGCCACTGAAAACTGGGCAGAGCTGTACTTGACAGACGACAGAACTAGCCGTAATGATTGGTGAGTAAGAGGTGGACTAGTCAATAAATGGTACCTGGACCACTGGTTTTGCCGATGAAAGGAAACAGAACCTGTCATGTCAAACACAAAAATTAAACCCAGAAATACTTCATGAGTTAATTGTGAAATTCAAAATCGGGGAGCTTTTAGATGGACATACTTATGATCTCTAGGCAGGGAAGTATTTCTTAGATAAGATCAGAATAAACCAAAAATAAAAGATTAAAATTTAACTACAGTATACAAAAATGTCAAACATCTTTGCACCAAAATTCACCATAAGTGAAGTACAAAGACCGTCCAGATGAGTGAAGATATCTGTCATATCCACAGCTGAGAAAAACTAAGCATTCAGAATATAGAAAACACTCTTAAAAGGTAGTAAGAAAAAACAATAACAACCTTGCAATAGAAAAAATGGCCAGAAGATATAGATTATCCAAGGAGTTAAAAACTGGCCAATAAACATGCTTAATTTCACTAATAATCAGAAATGCAAATGAAAACTTCAAGTGTCCCTTCTCCCATCAGACTGCAAAAATTATACCCTGATGATACCAAGCTTTGTCAAAGATATGAAGCAATAAGAACTGTTTTCCATATTGTGGTGTTAAAATTGATATAACCCCTTTGTAGAACAATTTAATATGTAGTAACAGATAATGACAGTGCTATTTACAGGTACTCTATCATATATACAATATGCATAAGAGCAAACGTTTGATAATTACATGTCGCTTCACACAGATCAAGCTCAGGATTATAATATCAAGTGGAAAAAGCAAATTTCAAGTAAATGCATATAATATGAAGTTTTAAAATACTCAAAACAAAGCCATAGTAAAATTTTTACAAAGCATGGGAATAACATCAAATTCCAGATAGTTAGTTATACAAGAGAGGTCAACTGTATGGGTCATGTTTTTTATTATGTTAATAGTTCAAAGGTGTTTGTTACACATACTTTTCTGCATACCTGAAATATTTCTTATTACATTTTTAAAATATTGAATTAAGTTTTCTGTATGTGTAACAGCTTGAGTTTTTAAAAAAGTGTGACAGTTTGGGGACATAGTACTAAGGACTGTATTCATTCTGATCTGCTAAACAATTTTAGGTCTTCAAGAAAAATTAAAATGCAAGCAGCCAAAATTCTCTGTCTTTATGAGCTGTGGAAAATTTCAAAGCTGTCTGAGTGCTTGTTTAAATCTGAGGGATTGGGGATGTGGTTCTGGAATCCAAGAGTGTGGTCGTCTTTTGAAGGAAGGAAATGTCAGCCAAGAATATGATGAATTTTTTACATAACAGAAACTATTCACTATTTCTTAATTGAATTATACAGCACCAGGAAGTAGTAACCTCTTTCTATTATTTTGTTCAGTACACAATTCAAATTCTGTAAAGACCAGGATCCCAGCTCCTCTGTCCAACAAGCCTCTGACTTTCTAAATCTGTGCTGGGGCCCTGGCATGAGCTGCACATTCCATGGGTCTCAGCCCATGTCACTTTTATCAACAGATAGGCTCTTGTGACCTTGGATCTTCAGGAACCTGGAGGAAGCTCTGTTGAACCGAGAGGAGAGGTAGGACACGTGTTTGACAGCCATGATACTTGCTGAAACTCTTCCAGCACTCAGCTCAGGATGCAGCCTTTGGAAGCATGAGTCGTGTCCCCCTGGATGAGGCAGAGCTTCCTCCACACAGCCTAGCAGCAGAGAGGTGCTGGAAGGGGACAGTGAGCCTGGAGGCCAGCCCACATCCCTGCTCACTGCCAGTCCAGGGAGAGGCCATGCTCTCCGCACTCACCCCCGACTCACTGTCTCCTTCCAGACCAGAAATGCCTTCACTTCGTATAAGACATCAGGTCTAATTTTAAACCCACTGCTCCAACTTCACTGTTTACATATTGATGAGTGCCTCCAATGAGGTTCATGATGAGAGGCACTGAAGTTGGCATACCGTGGTGTTAATTCATTCACTGTGGCTTTAGAGCTTTTCTGACAATCCTAATTATTTGAGACAATCTGAGGTCTCACTTTACTGTGCCTTAACAGATGGCCTGTACAATCTACATGGGAGGAATTTCCATCCTAACTCCTCTGTGGTTTGAAGCATCTTCTTCCTGGGCCCTCACCCTCTAGAGAAGAGATACATTTAATGAGTAGTCTCCTGGGAAGGAGGAATGAGGAGGTGACTGGTAGGGCTCATACCATGTCTAGGCGGTTCTACTAACCACCCACTCCTTCTAGGCTGCGTGTGCCGATCATTTTCACTGGTGACATTATGTTGGTAGAGGATGAAGACAGGAGAAGGGATCAGCATTGGGCAAAGTGACCCTTTTCCATAATCAAGGCCTGGAGATGTAAGTGCCACCCCCCCATACCTCTGGACCCTCCAAGACTCCTCTATTCTTGGTTGTAATAGATTCCCCACCCTACCCCCACCCCAAATCTACTTATTCCAGATTTGCCTAAAATCCCAGTTGAAGTAAGAAGAGGGGCAAAGGCTGACCCCTGGCAGGGAGGGACAGATCTCCAGCCCCTGTCTAAGCCCATTTACCATGACAGCACCCAGAGAGGCCACGGCAGGCGCCAAGGCAAAAGAACCTGGTTCATCCATTAACTGAACTACTCTTTCACAGATGCCTTTCTATTTGTAACTAATTTTCTTTCAGAAGTATTTTTAAGATGTCAGTTAAGTGAAAAATCAATGAATGTATCTGAAAATGAAACAAACTCATTAACAGAGGAAATTAACATTTTCTTTTTACTTTTCCAAGTTTCCTCCATTTTTTTCTTTTATTCCTTTGAAACAGGGTCCCATTCTGTTACCCAGGCTGTCCTACTCACTTGTAGCCCAGGCTGGTCTTGAACTTGCAGTCCTCCTACTTCAGCCTTCCAAGGACTGTGGGTGTTCAGTGCCACACCTGGCTCATCCTCCAATTATAATGAATTGTCTTTTTTTAAAATTTTAATCAAATGTCTTTTAAAATACATTACATGTCCTAAAGTTATAATGGTATGCAAAGTGTTGTATTTATTGACATCAGTTTACTAAAATCTGTTACATTTTCCATTATGAAACTAAAACGAACCTTTTCCAGAGATACTCTTGGACAGGTACTCAAGAAAAGACTGGAATGCTGAAGATCCATAGTTTCTCCCCTCAGTCTGTCCACTGTGACATCAACAAAGGTGGGTTCACCAGCCAGACGCCCCAGGGAAATACTAATAGCCCAAGCTATGCCCAAGGCTCCACTTTCAACAGTGGCGATGTCACAAGGGGAGACGTTATCCTGGACAGCTGACATTTTGAGAGCTGCATTTAAGGGCGTTTAAGAAGTGACCAAAAAAAAAAAATACACAAATGACAATGGAGGGGCAAAGCCCGGTGAGGGTAATGCTCAGTGTGCTGCCATGCATCCAGATGACCTCTTTTAAACTGGAAATTAGCTCATTAGAAGCTTCACCTAGAAACTGTTTTAATAGCTGTATATTTATTTAGGGAACATACATTGAATTTTCAGTGTTCTGCTTCTCAGCTTAATTTGTATAAGCATTTTTGTGTGACATCGCTGTTTTGATTCTTTTGCTGAAAACAGTGACATCAAAAGAATAAAAGTCAACAAATGTTAGTTGAATCTACTGGGAGCTGGGCATTGTCAACATCTGGCTGAGCTAAGAACCCCCAAACCTTGACCTTAGGACCTTCTCCACCGGAAATAAAGACGTCCTGCACTCTTGACTGTTCTCAGAGGCCAGCGCCCTTCTCTTTGAAGCAAGCCACCAAATGGTGTTTCTTGCTTTTCCTTGTGGTGAATAAACGAGATCTGAGAGTCCAGATGAATCACAGGGACCTCTATTAGTGTTCCTCTCTGATCTCATATGCAGGGGCTCTGAGAATCCATCACAGTATTTCTGCTATCCCTTAAATGCCACAGGGGGCGCTTTTCACTTCCTTGGCTTTGAGTGACCAAGTTCATCTCGCTCACCTCTTTGTTACCAGGCCCAGCACATTCCCGGCACAGAGGCACAGACATTGATGTGATGGCTGACTGTTTAAAAATGAGTAAGTGCTTAAATATGCGAGCAAGCCTAACACAGCTGGGACACGGGGCTCCGGGGACGGGTCAGTTGCTAAACGCTGTGGTAAGGAAGCTCCACTGTGAGTGCAGTGTGGAAAATCTTCAAGATCACACTCCAGGTAAGGCCCATGGGAGAACAAGTGCTGTTTACTATTTGCTGCTTTCTCTCAGGAGTCATTTGCAAAGCTAGGGTGGTTAAGAGAGAAACTGGCTGAAGCCGGAAGATCAAAGTTCAAACCCAGGGTGGGCAACTTAGTGACTTAGGGAGACCTTGTCTGCAGATTTTAAAAAGGGGGTGGGGTGGGTAGCCGGAGATACAGCTCCGTGCAAAGGCCCTGGGTTCAATCCCCAGTGCTGAAAAAGAAAATAGTAATAAGCATTAGATGCAAAATTTAAAAACTATTTTTGACATGACTTTGAGATTTAAAAGCCAGGTTTCCAAGTACTCAGGAGCCCTGGAAGTTGGGTCCTACTTCTGTGCTTCCAAGTTAACACACTTTCCAGTGTAGACAGAGGGTGGCCTGGGGCAGCTACTGTGTGGAAATTAGCTGACCAAGTACACTGTAGTTTAAACACACCCGCACGTCAAGTAACCAACCCGGCAGGGAGTACATTGTTTTGACGGTGTCTCTGAAATCGTGGGGCCACCCTTTGGGGCTGTCTCCACAGCAGCCGCCCTGCAGAGGTGGCCTGGTGGTGTCTCCTCCTCCGACAGTGAGGACCCACATCATCATTCCCACTGGGGTGTTCAGATAATGACAGTGCTGATGGGATGCACCCTATTTATTGACAGAGGCAGGACCACCAGGCCTCCAGCTGCGGTCCTTTAAATTTCAAGTCTACCTGACTTCATGATAAGAAATGGAGAAAGGCCTATTTTTTTCCTGGTAAGGGTCCACATCAAGTATATTATGCCATCATTTGTATTTTCTTTATGGGAAATGAAGAGGAAAGCCATAGAAAGGTACGTTTTAAAAACCACTCAAATGGGCTGGGGATTTAGCTCAGTGGTTCCACCGCCTGCCTTGCAATCGCAAGGACCCCATCCCCGGTACCAAAAAACAAACAAAAAAACCACTCTAATGCTGAGGATCTGAAGTCGCCACTCTCTCCCCCCATAGGAAGGAATTACCCACACTCGCGAAGTGTGCAGCTGTTTTCCTGTGGATCCCCACAAGGCATTAAGAAAAGACTCTAGAAACCATCGTGCACAGAAGTGTGAAATGATTTCAATACTTAAGGAAATAGGAATGTTTTCATTTACTAATCATTCTAAGGCAGACGGACGCGATTAACTTCAGGAATGAAAAGGATCAGCCAAAAGGCAACGCAGCAGACAGAGCTCCTTGGGGGAGACGGTGTCAGGGGTCCACTGGTTCCCCTCAGCCTCGTCCTCGGGGACAGTTTCTTCCTCCATATCCACTGTGGCTTCCTTTCTGCAGCTGCAGTTTGCCAGCCCTGTGCCTGCCTCAGTGACGTGTGCCCAGCTCTCGGGCCTCCAGTGAGATGGGGAGACCGACTGTATAAAAGGATGTGTTGCGTTGTCACAACTTGTGACAGGAACTATGAAGAACAGTGACGTGGGGCGGTGAGGGAGAATAAAAGGAGGTGTGGTGGGTGGCAGAGGTAGAAGGTGACATTAAAGCTGAGAACTGCAGGATGGCAGGCAGTGTGGAGACCACCAGGGAAGGAGGAGGCAGAGCTGGTGCAGAGACCCCGGGAGAAGGAAGCCTAAGTGTTTCAGGAAATGTGCCCCGCACCCTCTTTCTCTGTCTGTCTCTTACACACAGACCCCCTAGCTCTTCCTTAGAGGGTCAGTAATCCCAGGATCCGTGGGTTCATACACGAGTGGGTGGACAGGGAGCCCCCCCCATGGGAGAAACACGAGTGATGGGGAAGAGGCTGTGGAGGGAAACGGGACATGAAGGATGATGGGAGCCCAGACACCACCCACACAGCGGCTCCTGGGTCCCCTCGTAGAGCTGTCCCTCAGGATCTCCTAATACCAGCCCCTGGGCGTGGATGCCATCCTTGCCACATCCTCACTCCTCACCTCCAGGTTGCCAAGTGCCGTGGGCTCTATGTCCTTACTGCCATCCCTGGACTCCCCCATGACTTTGCTCCATCCCCTGGCCACTGTCTTGGAGCAAGCTACCATCATCTTTCTCCAGCACAACTGCAACACAAATGTTTAGAGACAAGCACATCAGCAGGACTTGCTACGGAGGTGGAGCCTTCTGTGCACAAAGGCAGGGCTTGGTCCAGAGGTGGAAAGCCGGTGAGCTCTGTACAGGTCACACCGGCCTGTTGGGGAGCCGAGCAGAGCAGGGGGAGCGGACTCTTCTAAAACTGAGCCTTTCCTTGGCACTTTTTTCTGACAACAGGGAGTTCAGTGATCTCCCATCCTTCTAGAATCTGTGCCACTTGCACCTGCCACTTCTGACCACTTTTCAACTTGTTTAAGGCTATATTCAGTGTATGCTGTAGGCGCTTGGCCTTTCCTTCCATGACTGTCCATCACCGATAAACTCACTGTCCTCCTGCATTCAGTGAGGTTCCCCCAAGTCACCAGACAGCCTTAAGCCTGGATATTTATCTGACCCATGGCTCTGTACCCCTCTGGACCCTAATGACAGCCGAGGAACCTCTAAGGTGCTGCACACTTGCCAAGCTGCAGTACAAGTTCTGATATTTGAGGAGCAAAGATGGCTGAGTCTGTGCCCACTGCCCATCTGTGTTTCCTACAGGACAGCGGAAGTAGAGGGGCTGTGCCTGGGCTGCCGGGGCCCTGACCTCAGGAGAGCTCCTCCTTCCTGCATCTGTTAGGAGACCGGGGATTCTCACTGGTGCCCAGACGACAGCAGGCAAGGAAGGAAGGCTCCACACATGCTCCAAAGGAGGCCAAGAGTGAATGGCCTTCACCCCTTTAAATGTCAGCTGTCATTTTCAGATCAGCTGATTTACAAACACCTTTGGGCAATGCATGCTGTGAGTCTAAGCAAACTCTCAACCCAAGAACAGTTTTTTTTTTGTTTTGTTTTGTTTTAATGAAATTGACACTACTGTGACCTTTGTCTGTCAGAAAATACGAAGTGGACTACTGCAGCCCAGCAATGAGTCAGGAGAGAAAAGTCAGGGTGACAGAGAAACAATGGAGGGTCTACACTTGAAAATGAGGTGGCCGATGCGGTGAGTCTTTGGGGACTCTGAATTTCTGGATTTCCTGTCGTACTGAGGGCAACAAGAAAAACACCAAAACTGCTACTGGCAAAGTAAAACGAAAGTGGGCTGCTGAAGGAATTCCAGGACACAACTGTACATAAAGTGACCTTCTTTAAGAAGGAGGCTCTGAGTGTGTGGCCAGTTGCAGGAATAAGTGGACACAGCAAGGACAGGGTGGTTTGCTCTGGGCCATGACCCAGGACCGTGGAAGACCTTAGCAGTCTCGACTTTCTCACCCACAACCAACAAATAAAAACCATGTTCCAGCTCCTCTCTTCCAAAGATTCTTTATAGTGGGCTTTGAGTTTTTTGGAGAAAAGGGTCAGGTAAAATTACGTTACTGTTGTTTGGAAATGTTTAATGCTTACAGCTGTGACGTACTGAGCCAATGGGCCGAACCCTGCCAATGACAGTTCCTAATTTGGAGGCCAGATTAGAGCTGGGTCCAAACCTGACTTCAGAATGCACTGGGGCCCAGTATGCCCCAGGATGTTACTGACCAGGGAAACAATCCTGCTGGAGCCTTTCACCTAAATGAAAACGTTAGTCAAACCACCCATCCTAGAATGAAACCAGCTTTCTGTACTGCAAAACTGCTGTGGAAATTTCCATTTGGAGCCCGGAGAGTTCTCTAGTTCTCCCTGCAGGCAGATGCCTTTAAAAGGCAGATCAATAATATGGTTTCCTTTTCAGAAATTGAAAACTGCTTTCTGCTTTGCTTCTCTGGTCTTCCTGTTTTTTTGTGCCGACAGGCCCATGACTGGGCCATCCAGCATGGGAGGGAACATCTGGAAAAGCTGCTACCCAGTTGATTCCTGCTACTGAGTTGAAAACTCAGGGGATGCAGCTATTGTGATTAAAAACAAGAGAAACATGCGGCCAGTCGCTTTGGAAAGCTACTGGCTTCACAGAGCCCCATGCTAAATATGGGATTTGAGAAACTCCAGTCAGCAGCAGATGCAAAAGGCATGTTTAAAGTCCACCTCTGTGCCCTGCTGTTCATGGAGCGGCGGGCGCTGCCCTCAGATGGTTACTGTAGAGGAGCAGGAATGAGGACAGCCCATACCACAGCATGCACAACCTTCACGCACACAAATTCAGCCTTTCCCTCTGATTCTGTCCGAGAGCCATGTAGCTTTAAGATGTCACCATACATTGTTTTCAGGCCTGATGGGTAATAAGGCCAAACCCAAGGGAGAAAAAAGTCACTGACTTCCATTGTGGGTTTTAAGGGTACTGTAACCTGAAAGTTTCCTGAAGCTGAGATGATTTTCAAGCCTGTGAGTGGAAGTGCAGGCCAGAGCAGCTATTCTCAGCTTCTTTGGGAAGCTGACAAACTCAGGCCCTGCCCCTGAGACTAATTCAGAAGGTGACCTTGCTCAGAAGCTTTAGGAACACTTGGCGAACTACCGTCACCAAGGGGATAGCTGAGCTGCACTTAAGGGAGATCTGCCCAGAGACAAGAGACTTCCGGAAGCCTCATGTCCCTCTGTGTAGGACAGGGCCATGAAGGCTTGATCTGCAGGGCTGCTGGAAAGAGGGAGGATAACATATGAGCCACCCCTGGCAGCAACAAGCCTGGCCTTGAGCCTGTGTTGGAGTTCGAGGTACCAGTCCAGCCCCGCTAGGAGCCAGCAGGGAAAGTGTGAAGCTCTTCTCGGCCCCACTCAGATCACTGGGCACATCAGGGTCACCCTCAGGAAGTCACCGTGTCCACACCTTGCCCCCCTGCAGACAGTCAGCTGCAACTGCTCTTAAACCTACTTTGCCCTCTTGTCCTGGAACTTCCTTCTTCTATCCCATTTCCCAATCCTGGAATTCCTGATTCTCTCTGTCTAAAATCTTCCCTCCAATAAACCCCAGTATGGATTCATAGCACAGAACTCTGCATACAGTATTCCTGGGAGCTTTCAATCTGTAACTCCTCCTTCTAGTCTGGGATACTCTTAAGGGAAGGGGCTACTTCATTCCTGCTGTATTCATTGTTCATGCTCCCAAATAAAGAAGAGTTCCAGGGACCCTGCCCTGGAAGCACCCTGTTCTCACAGCCTTCACTGTCTTGGCCTCGCTGATTGATCCAGGGATGGGCAATGGATTCCAATTGGGCCTAGCAGTCCTGAGTCTTTCAAGCTGAAGGCACAGGGGTTGGTGTAATGGTAGCCATGGTCTCCAGCTTGGGGGAGGACACTGCTGTGATGGAGGAGGTGTAGAGTGGCAGAGTGGAGTCGTGGACGGAGAAAGCCCACCTGGCATTAGGGTCTGCCCCTGTAGTTCCTCCCTAGGCTCAGCTACAACCCTACCTGCTGGGCATCTTGCTGCTCCACCCTCCTTTATGAACTACAAGCCTATGATGCTCCTTCAAGCCCAGGCTGGTTTCAGTTGTGTTCTGTCAGTGGCAACCCAAAGGCTCCTACTGCACTGACCTCGGCATTATTCCCACAATGCCACTATCTTGGAGACTCATGGGATGAAACAGATAAGAGTATAGAGTAGACCGTACAATGAGGACTGCCTGGTGCTAGCGGTCCACTCCAACAACTCTCAATGATGTGATCAAGGCCAAGATACTTACCTCTCAGCCTCAGTTTCCCTCTTTGTGAAGTATGTAGCATATAGGTACCCAACTCTGGGGGTTTCTATAGGGTTTAAATAAGTTAACGTTTGTGAGTCTCTCGACACAATGCCAGTTACTCCCAAAGAATTTGCTATTACCATATGGATGTGGGAATGGGGAGACTGAAAAACCAGCACCCTCAGTTTCCTGCCTCCCCCTTCCCTCACTGTAATGTGTTTGGTGTCAGTGTAATCACTAAACTGTTGGAAATCATTGGTTTAAGAGATGTCTTCTTAGGTGGACTGGGGACTCACAAAGACAAGGACCATGTCTGTCTTGTTTCCTGTCTTGTACCACCAGGTCTGGCCAGCTTGGAGATTGGTCCATAAAAGGTGCCCAATAACCATTTTCTGGATAAATTGATAATGTGGCATCTTGTTAGAAATTGGCAACATGAAGGTTACCCAAACTGGCATCCGTTTGCAGCAGAATTAAAAAAGTCACAAGAAAAGAAAAGGCTTGGAGCAGGGCACAGTAACACAGGCCTATAATCCCAGCACTGAGGAGGCTGAGGCAAGAGGATCACAAGTTCATGGCCCACCTGAGCAACTTCTCAAGACACTGCCTTAAAACAAAATAAAAACTAAAAAGGCCTGGGGGTGTAACTCATGGTAGAGTACCCTGAGCTTTATCCCTACTTCTGCAAAGAAAGAAGAGCTTAATTTCTAGGCTGACCCATTCAAAACCAAAGTTAATTCTTTAGATTTGACCAGTTATATTACCCAGAAGCTACTAGGGTTTCTTCATTTTTAAATTAGTTAATACAATGAAAATACAACATGCCAAAACTTGACACACTGAATGCAAGAAAAGGAAAATTTATAGCCATAAACAGATAAATAAAATGAAAAAAAGTTAAATTCCCAATTCAAAAGATAGGAAAAAACCCTCGGTAAAACAAAAACAAAAGCACCAAGATAGAATAGAATAATAAAGATAAACTCATAGATTGATGAAATAGAGAATAGGAAGACAATAGGTTTATGGAATTAAAGTCCTGGTTTTTAGAAAAATTATCAGAACAGGCAAGCCACTACCTAACTCAGCCAAGGAAAGAGGGAGAAAATCCAAATATAAAGTGGGGAAATATCTATTAAAAAGTGCAAATTTAAAAATTCATGAGATGACTTTGCAACTTGCTATGTAAATACATCTGAAAGTATAAATGAAATGGATAATTATCTAGAAAAGGATAGTTTACCAAAATGACTTCATTAGAGATAGAAAGCATTAATATCAATCTTTGTAGAATAAACTGAGAAAACTTTAAAGGAATTTCCTACAACAGAAGCACCAAGCCTAACGGATTTTGCAGGAGGTATAAACCTCAACACCAGGTGGTTTCAATGCTACATAAATTCTTTTGGTGCATGAGAAATAAAGGTAAGCTTCCAAATTATTTTTCTGAAGGAAATACAACACTGGTACCTAAACAAGTATCACATACAAATATTAGCAAACAAAATCAACACCTGCTGTGGTCTCAGTGTGTTCCCTAAAAGGCTTGTGCCGGAAACTTAATATCCAATGCAACTGTGCAGAAGACACGGGGACTAAGGAGAGGCAGAGGCTCTGCCTTCATGAATGGATTGATGGGTTCATCGTGTGCAAGAAGGTTCGTTACAAAAGGCTGTGTACAGGCCCCCTTTCTTTCTCCTCTCTTGCCCTTATGCTTCTGCTTTGGACTCACATAGCCAAGGCCTTCACCACATGCCAGCTCCCTGACCTTGGACTTCCCAGTCTCCAGAATTGTGAGAAATAGTTTTCTTTATACTTTACTCAGTTTCTGGTGTTCTTTTATAGCAGCATAAGATAGACTTAGACATCATGTTAGGAAAATAATTCAATAAGACTAAGGGGATTATTCTAGCAATGCAAGGTTGGTTCAATATTATAATAAAATATACCATATTAAGAATCATCCAATAGTCTCCATTGATGCTGAAAAAGCCTCTGCTAAAATCCAACATTTATTTCTAATTTTTAAGACTAGAAACTAGAAATTGGTGGATACTTCCTTACCATAAAATATATAAGCTTTAGTTGTAAAGGCAGCAGCTGTTAAAAGAAGATTCGCTTCGGCAGCACATATACTAAAAAAGAAGACTCATGAGAGCCATATCCACTAAGATTAGAAACAAACTAGGGATGATCATTGTCCCTGCTACTATTCACTATTGCACTAGAGGATGAACCAATGCAATTAGATAAGAATAATCAATTAGAGATTACAGAATTGGAAAATATAAAGTAAAACTATTTCTATTTATAAATGATATGGTAGTATACCTTGAAAATCTGAATCAATGCTCAAATTATCTTAAAAAATAAAAGAATTAAGCAAGCAAGCAGGATATGAAATTAACATACAGAAATCAATCATCTCTATGTAAAGAAATAAATCAAAAGGTGTAACAGTGAATAAAGTTCCATTTACAGTAGTAATAATGAAATGCTTAGATATAAACTTATTAAGAAATGTGCAAAATATACAGGAAGACCACTTTTTAAAGGCCTGAAATATATAAAAGTAGACATAAATAAATGGAAAGATATGCCTTGTTCTTGGATAGAATAAGCCAATATTAGAAAGATGCCAGCTCTCCTGAAATAGATTTATAAATAATTCAATAAAAACATCAGCAAATTCTTTATAGAGCCTGACAGTTTGATAAAGACCATGTAGAAAAGTAAATATGAAAGTATCTAGAAACCTTGATATTTTAGGGGGGAAAAAAGATCATATGGGGGAAGAGTGTCTTGTTCTCCCTCACATTCTGCCAAATCTCTGTCGCTAAAAACATAAGATACTTGCAAACGAATAGACAGAGTTTAATAGAATAGAGCAGAAATCCAGAAGTACACTTGGGCACATACAAAAATTTAAATCACTGATACAGAGATGGGATCTTTTTTTTTTTTTTTTTTTTTT